ACCAAAACGTGTTTACATAAAAACTCCAAATCTTACATGTTTGTCCTTGTGCGGGAAACTCATTGCCTCCTCTCCTGCATTCTAGTCGTTAAGGAATGGCTCCAAGCCAGCGCCCGCCAGAGAAACAAATCAGCGCGTTCTTTTGAGTCCAGTGACCTCGAAAGTGGGAGCATGAATGTCTCTAATCAAAGGACTCCCCCTCCTTAACATTTCGGCTTATTTTTGCCTCTGCACCTCCCGCAATAATCAAAGCCTGCTATCTCGGTCTTGCAATCTCTGTGATTCCAACTCGAGTCTCGCCTGCGTCTGGCGCATCCCGCGGCAGCTGCCTGTGAAGGTGAGCAAATTGTGAGCTGCTCTCTCAACATGCAGATCCCAGTTGCAACCACGTCTTTAACGCGCCAAGTTCTGCCTGCGGACAAGTGAAGAAAATAAGATGCGTTCCCGGCAGAGGCGATCTGTAAAGCACATCTATTTCGATGTGTGAGCCAGGGGCTTTGAGCAGGGGCATTGCTCATTCTTTCGAGTCCCTTGGATAGAAAGTATTTGTTTGAAAATGTACTGGCCAGGGTCTATACCAGGCTTCAGACCCGCCAAAGACTCAGGGAAAAGTGCTCAGAGGAGTCTGGTCCTGGGAAAGCCTGCCTTCTAGGACCCGCTCAGGCCGCCGGCTCGGAATCGGGGTACGATTGCTTCCGGAGGCCGTGTCAATTTGAGGTGATGTTTATGCACTCGATCTCCAAAATGCACTCCTTAGCGTGAGACCCGAAGGGTTCAGGGCTTTGGACAACTCTTTCCACAGCTGGACTCTCTCCGGAGGGAGAGGGAACGGAAGATTCTTGCTTTGTTGGTGCCCTGGGCTGGCAGCGTTCCCCCCGTTAGGATACTTACGCTAACGGCGCATGAGCGTGGGCTGCAGGAGACAGGAGTGCGGCTGGCTTTCTGAGACCCAGGAAACTCCATGCGGCTACTTTCTTGAGAGTCTCCAAAGCAGACCTGGATTTTGAGGCCATTTCTATTAAAACGGCCCGGCCCTGCTATTAACGTGGCTGCAGGGCCGCTGGTACCAGAGGGTGTGGACTGGGCAGAGAGGCCTGGGCTGGACCGGGTTCTGCTCTTCTGCCCACTGCGTGGCCCGCGCCGGGTCACCCAGCCACTCCGAGCCTCAGTTCTCCCACCTGCACAGAGGATGGTCTTGTCTGCCTCCTAGGGTGATGGGAGGCCCGACGAGATGGGAGCTGGAAGCACTAGTCCCCACCACGTGGCCGGTGGCCAGACACTGCCAGGTCGTCTTTTCACTGAGCCATCAGCAGGCACCTGTCAAATGGGCTCAGGCCTTTGCCTTCAGTAATGACCCCTCCTGCGCCTCACTAGGCCTCCGGCGCCTCCATGCATTGGCCCAGGTGAGCTGCTACCTGAGTAGGCGGAGCCCTGGAACCTCACCCCTGGACCAGGCTGGTCCGCAGTCATCCTGTCTGGAGGGTGGAGTTGGCAGATGGCATTAGAGCCAGCGTGTGGGCACCGGCTCCCTTCCCGTGGGCTTGCAAAGGGCTGGGACCTGTACTGAGTGCCACTTCCTACACTGTGATTCATGCAGGAGGTCACAGTGGCGGAGAGCCAGGGCTCCGGGCCAGGCTGCCGGCTGAAGCCTGAGTCCACTACCCCTCCTAGTGTGAGACTCTCTGGGCCTCAGTGGCTTCACCTGTGAAGTGGGCTAGTAGTTGTCTGTCTGACCACTTGGCCGGCATCTCCCCACTGTACCCATCACCTTCCTGAGCTGGACAGACTGCCCTCAGCCTGGTTCAGTTGTAAGCCAGACTTCCAGCAAGGGGGGGCAGCGGGGGAACAGAGGCCTGCCTGCAACTCGGAACTCAACTCCCCGGGGGCTGCCTCTGTGAAAACCTATCTGTCCTAAAAGAATCGTCTCCAGCTCCTCATTAGTATGTGTAAACTGTATTTATGTTGCCATGTTTGGAATAAATTGAGGTGCCTAAAATATAAGTTTATTTTTCATGTTTCAACCAGCTGTTTTTAAAAATTGATTTCAGAGAGAGGAAGAGAGAGTGAGAGAGAGAGATAGAAACATCAATGATGAGAGAGACACTGGGCATTGAGCTGCAACCTAGGCACGTGCCCCGACCGTGAATCAATCGTGACCTCCTGGTTCATGGGTTGACGTCCAACCATTGAGCCACACCAGCTGGGCTCAACCAGCTGTTTTTATATCTAGTAGACACAGCCACATTCATCCAATGGAAGCACACATGGACCCAGGAAAACACAATGAATGGCTTTAGAAATTAAAGATGAGTATTACTTTGTAAAAGTGATTATATACCAGAAATTAGGAAAGCTTTTGTATAATGAAAAATTACTTACTGGTTGTGGAACCTAAGTGTTTACCAACTCTTGTGTGTTAGGGAGAAGGGAGAAAAAAGGAGGAAAACATTTAACTGTTGCAGGAGCTGCCCCCCTTTTTCACAGTGAGCACTCGGTCTCCTGGTACAAATTTTAAAGCCCCACAGAGTTGTTCTTCTTTGACCTCCGCACCACACCTGAGAACCACCTGAGGCGTGGTGTGTGTTGGCATCAGGAAATTCTTCACCGAAGCCTTGAGCAAAGGGTTTCTCTGTTGAGCGCAAGCATAGAAAAATCAAGAAGTGTTGCAGGTGGCCCAGCCATTGTGGCTCAGTGGTTGAGCATCAACCTATGAACCAGGAGATCATGGTTCGATTCCCAGTCAGGGCACTTGCCTGGGGTGTGGGCTCGATCCCCAGTGTGGGGCATGCAGGAGGCAGCCGATCAGTGACTCTCTTTCATCATTGACGTTTCTCTCTCTCTCCTCCTCTCCCTTCCTCTCTGAAACCAATAAAAACATATGTTTATAAAGAAGAAGAGTTGCAGATGTAGAAAAGGAGAGGGCCAGGTGGAACACTGAGGTCAGAGCTTGTGGGCTGCAGAAGCCAGCACTTTGTTTTGCTCTGTTCTTTCCCACCACGCTCACCCTGGCAACACACACGAACGAGCGAGAGAGACAGGGCAGGTGAGAAACCAGCTCGAGCACGTGCAGCTCAGACTGACACAGGCCCAGCTGCCAGTCGTCACCCGTCGCGGAAGGAAAGTCCGCTCAGCAGAAGCCACAGAGCCGCCGAGGAGGTGGGGCTCCATTTCCTGCTGCCTCCTCGCCAGGCAAGCTTCCCAGGCCGGAGGGATGCGCCGGGGACCAGCCCCGCATGGTGATGGGAGTAAGCCCTTGACGAATACAGCCTCCCATTGCCACCCCATGCTCAAGCCACCAGGAGAGTGAAACCCACTTTCCAAACAGGGGCCGAGGGGGCCTTGTTGGAAGAACTCCCCTCTACACGCGGAGACCTTTAACTCATAAAAGGACGAAGCGCTGGTTCCGGAAAAGCTCTGGGTAAAAGAACCCGCCCTGTGTGGGTCTCTGGGCTTTAAAGTCAAAGCATGACTTGTGCAATGCCCGGGCTTCTGTGATGGAATAAAAGGTTTTCCTTTATGATATGTGGGGTTTCCACATGTTCAAAATTGTATTTTATGTTTTTTCCTTGTTTTTGTTTAAAATTAAGTGTGTGTGTACGTGTGTGTGTGTGTTGGGGTGGGGACAGTGAAGAAGAAACAGCAGCAGCAAACAAACAAAAGCCCGCGTTGACTGAGCGTAGTCAGCTCGAGGAAGCACGCTTCATCCCGTGCCAAGTGACGCTCACGAAAATTGCAGCAATTTTTGATGCACTTGCCAATGTTTGTGTTATTTTTACTTTAAAGATGTAACAGATTGCCGCAGCATAAATAATTTAAGCCTCGTATTTCAGAGGCGTCCAAGCGCGTGTGTCTTTCGCTTCTGGCTTCTCTTCTGGGACGGAGCCGTGCCCAACAGAAGCAACCGCCGTGTCTCTAACACTCCATTTGGACCGTTGTTTTTTGGTGTTGAATCTATTTTTCGCCGTTCTGTTCCAAGTGCCACAGGTTCTGTCACTGTTCAGTGTGGAAGCGGTAACTTTCCTTCTACAGGAAGAAAGGGAACGAGCCCCATAGCATCTGCTTGTGATCTCGCAGGAAGATCACCAGCTGGAAGGGGTGTGGGAGTGCTCGGGAGAGACCCTAACCCAAGTCCCACAGGAGTCTGCCATTTCCACTCAGATTCATACTCAGACTTCAAGCCAGGAACAATGGGTCACATTTTGCACACAGCATCCTCAGTTTAACTTAAAAATAGCTTTAGACTTGGCAGATTGACTTCACACAAAATGATCCCATCCTCGATCAATTATTGGACTTCTCACTCTGTTGTGTGCCATTATGGTACAACTGAGAGAGAAGAAACATCTATGTTAAAAAAAAAATCCAACGCCAATCTTTATGCTGCTCTATACTTCCTAAGTGTGGTTGAACAGCTTTTATAAACCGAAAACAAAGATCTATATATATAAATCTATCTATATATATAGAAGGCTAATATGTTAAGTGTTCCTCCGCCTGTCCAACTGGTTGCTATGATGCGCACTGACCACCAGGGGGCAGATGTTCAACAGAGAAGCTGCCGAGCTGTAGTGACTTGGCAGTGGCAGTTCTCCCTGGGTGGTTCCACCTTCGGCCGTGGGTTATGTTGTTGCTGGGGCGCTGTCAGCCCTGAATCTCGTTTACTGCACACTTGTGTTTGCATTCCACACCCTGTACAATAACAACTTTGCAGAGTGCACTCTGGGACCCCTCAGGGGATGTCAGAGAGCCAGTTTCAGCCCAATCCCTGCAGGCCAGGCAGAGGGACCCCACCTGCCAGAGGGACCCTGCACACTCTGCAGACGCTGGGGAGAGGCCACGGGATGTTGGCTCCAGGGCATTTTCAGCTGGTCTAGCCCAGTACCGCCCCACCCACCACCTAATTAATTTCCTTTCAATGTGCACGAATCCGTGCACCAGGTCACTAGTACAATATAAAAATCCCAGAACAATAACGACAGCGTGTGTTCTGTTTACTGCAGGCAGACATTCTGAGGTCCACCAGATGACCGGGAACTACATGTGGGACTCCAACAGCAATAAGTCATTTGACATCGGTGTCAACAAAGACAGCCTGATGCCTCTCTGGTGGAATGGATCAGAACCTCTCTGGGTCACCCTGACCAAAGCCAAAAGGAAGGTCCACATGTACTACTGGCCAGGTGAGTACATCCACCCACATCTCAAAACAACGTGGAGTCTCCAAAGACAAAGGATGCGGGTGACACGTGTGAAGACCAGGCCAGGGTTTGGAAAATGAGATCTTTATTCAAGAAGGATTGCTTTTGAGCATGTTTGTATAAAAAAATTGTTTTGAACTCTCTAACACCAGACCAGGCACGATGCCATTTCCAGATCCCCCTGGTTCAGCAGTGCTGCTGTAGTCTATCATGCCTTTTCCGGCGCTAAATCTTAGATACACACGAGAGATAGTCACGGCGTGCTTACTTGCCTGGCAAGAGAATCTGGCATACCGTTTCTTTAGATTTTGAGCTCCTCTATGGTGTTGAAAAGATGATTCAAAGCACTTACAACTGTCAGTAGTGTATTTAATGAAGCCCCTTGAAATAATAGTCAATGAAAAACTAAATTACTTTACTTACTGCGATGAGGTAAGGAACCATGCAAGCTGCCCTGGCTTCTCTAAGGCGTCTTCAGGATTCTCTCATCTCAGCAGTCGAAAATCTTTCATTAAGGATGAGAGGACTCAGTGATAATCAACCTCGCATTGTCTTCCCACTGGTGGGATTTGTTCTCAGGTAAGTGTGCAATTTGACTTTCCCATGGGCATGGCTGTAGACACTGTCTCCCTAATTCTTAATGGTGCAGCGCCGATGATTGCCATGTGGAAGAAGGTCTCAGGGAGGGTCTAGAAGAAATGAAGGGATAGATAGGGAGAAGCGGCCGAGGGGGTCTCATTGGCTTGGGTTGGAGGGCAGCAGCGGCCCGATAGAATTGTGAGAGCATGGCGGGTGGTGGGGGACGGCGACAGAAAGTGGAGAGGAGGATGAGTAAGCCAAGGCTGAATCACAGACGGCCCACACTGAGCGTGTGGCCTTCAGCCGGAGTTTGGAAGATGCTGGATGGAGGTGGTCACGTGGAGAGCTCCTCAGGGCGCTCCAGGCTATGCCAGCTCTCAGAGGAGCGTAGAACACAAACAGATGGAGACGATGGAGAGCCATGCTGTGGCGAGTGCCCTGAAAGTGCCCCAGAGCAGAGCCCGGCATGTACAGGGGAGCGGTGAAGGCGGGAGCAGGCTGCATTCATCCAAAACTGGGCAGAAGGACAGGCAGACACAGTTTCAGGGGGAGTGCTAGAGTTTCCCCAGAAGACACCTGGGATTGTGTCCGTCGCAGCTCCCTTGGCTGATATGGTAAGAAGCTTTTGGGCAAAGGAGGGGCTTCAGAGAGCTCCATTACCGTTAAATGGGGACTCGACTTCTTCACGGAGTTGGATGTGAGATCAAGCAGACAAGACAGTGCATCAGCCAGGCGGATCAGACTTGCTGGAGCAGCCAAGCTCGTGGGTCAGCCCGATGCAGGGAGGTCTGAGGCCAAAAGCTTGTGCTGCAGTTTGAGGTCATTCTCAGAAATCATTATTTTAAAAAAACCAAAAAAACAAACCAACACGGGTCCACATGCAGACACAGGAGAGTGCAGGTTGGGCGTGCTGCCTCGGGGACCACCTTAGAGCAAACCCAAGGGCCTGGGGAGAGCACTGCCCTCCGCCAAGGGCCCTCTTCCACGCTTATCTGCTTAACCTAACACTCTGGTCTTGGAACTTGAGCTCTTCGTGAGCAGTCACAGAGCATTATTCTTGATCTCATCCTGGAGAATCTGGCTCCTTAATGATAATAAACAACTTGAATTTCTATATCACCAAGTATCTACAAAACCTCAAAGCTAATTTGCATGTGAAATATCTTGTTGCTCCTCCAAAACAGCTCCTCAAAGGGCACGAAAGGGCCAGTCGCTCCCTTTGATTCACAGTTCAACAGCTAATGCGATGCGACGCCTTAAGATCAGCTCATGGTGTTAACTATCAGGAGGAAAGAAGCCGAAAGGCTAGCCTCCTAGAATTTCCCCAGTGACCTACATGGGGACTCGCAAAAGACCTCGCCATGGTGAAGTCCTGATAAGAATTGGATGAAAAGTCTCTGGTTTCCTCCACACTGTCCAGTCCCACGGAACGGGAGACACAGATAGCGGCTGAGTGGCCGCTATCTCCGAAGGCCCTGCCGCCCGGCCCGCCAGGATGGCCCGGCACCTTGGCTGACAGCTGACGGATGAGGGTCACCGCTCTCCTCTCCCCCCTTCCCCCTGGTCCCCTCCAGCCACAGCTAATAGCACGGCGAGCGTTCATTTGTCTCCGGAAGATGAAGCGAAGTGCGGTGGCATTTCTTCTAAACATGGCTGAATTTTGTTTTTCTTCTCGAATCCTCCTCTTCCTTCCCTGGTCCCGCAGGACGTTGCGCAGACCCCTCGAGGAGGCCTGGAAAACCTTCATTGCGCCAGTGAGCTGTGTTATGACACTCTGAGTCTCGCCATTAAGTCAATATTTAGAAGAGCAATTTAGAAATGGCAGGAGTTCAAGTCTTCCTGTCAGGTAGATAAAGCAGCAGACTGAAAAATTGATCAGTGGTGGGGAGTCCAAAACACCGCACCTCCAGTCCTGAGAAAGAGAATATTGTAAACAGACCCTTTATTACCCCACCCAGTGGTGCCATTGAGCTGCGCAGGGAGAAATGTGCCTCGGGACATGATCCCAGGCCCGAAATGGAATATTCCTTTGGGAAGGTCCAAAGAAACTGGCCAGGAACTGCATGACTAGGGCCTAGTAATGTTTTGCAAAGGGTAAGAGCTGACGGTGTGTCCCTCACTGATTTTATTTTTATTTTTTTAAATATATTTTAGAGAGAAGGGGAGACGGAGAGAGAGATAGAATCATCAATGATGAGAGAGCATCATTGATCGGCTGCCTCCTGCACACCCCACACTGGGAATTGGGCCACACCCTGAGCATGTGCCCTGACCGGGAATCGAACTGTGACATCTTGGTTCATAGCTTGACGCTCAACCACTGAGCCACGCCAGCCGGGTTCCCTCACGGATTTTATTCCCCTGCCCTGTCCTTGTGCTCTGAGGTCCAAGGAATTTCATTGAGGGGGAGAAGGAAGAGGCTCCGTATTCACTTCACGTGGAGAGTAACCCAAAGCAGAAGGGCGCTTTTTCCGGACCATCAGTACTACCTTACACAGTGGTGGTGGTTTTTAAGCTCATTCGTATGGCTCTCATGAAATACAAAAAAGGAACAAAAAATAGAAAGCTTTTAGGAGCCTGTGGCTCAGACTCTTTGGAGTGAGAGCCTAAAGAATCTAAGTTCCACTTCGTTCCACATGCATTTTGCAATGTTAACTCCCTACAGCCTCGCAATCAGGAGGACGTGAGGGCAATCCTCCGTGTGGCTCTGGGATGGTGCTGGGTGCTGTCTGGACCCTTCTACTGGCCTCTTCCTGTCCTGAGCAGGTGTTCAGATGAACAAGACACCTTCTATGTGGGTGAAAGACACACTTCCACCTCGCTTCCCCTCACCCACTTGCCAGAGGTGAGCTGGGTGGGGAGTTAACCATGGGTATCTGACTCCGCTTCTATCAAGTTCTAGTTGTTAAAAGCAAGGTGATTTCATCAGGATACGTAAGGAGGCACATATTGGCTATTGATCAGGAATTGTGGATTGCTCACAGCATCCTCTCCTTGTCTGCTGTGGTGGATCCCTGACAACCTTCAGCTGGGCTGTGCTTAGATGCAGACACTTAGGCTCAGGGAATAGCAGGAGCCAGCATCAATCACACAGATGTGTGCGTTACCATTATGGCCCAGCCGTTTGACTCTGTGTATGTGACTTCAAACACTTGGGTAACAAGTGGAATTTTTTTCAGGCAATATTTGACATTGCAAAGACAAGGGATCCAAATTTTCACTAAATGTTCCAATAACATCCCCAATTTGTCATTAGAGTTTACGATGTATGTAATTTTAGAACCAGGAGAGTATGTAGTTTGCTGGTTCCTACACTCTTTAGGAAACGGATAAAAACTATGATTCCCTTTCCAGATCAACACACCCATACATACTACACTCACAACTTTGTGCTCATGGAATACAAGAGACCACAATGATGAGGATTCCGAATGGTTTTCCATGGCAACATATGTCTCTATAATATCTAATTGATTTGATATTTTAAATGCGATGCAAACATGCGTTAAAAACTCACCAAATTATCCAATGAAACACAAGCTGTTGTCATTAATGATGTCTGGCAAAAGTAGGCGTGGGTCAAAATTCTCTAAGACTCTTCGGGTTGAATTCGCCTTGAATTACTCCCTTTGTGTGTGGGTAACTTTGGTAAAACTTCATCACTAAGGTTGTCTGTGTCAGCAAGAAAAAGATGACAAATTCGCATTTCGAGTTGAGGTCTTCCCAAAGAAGTGAGTTTCAGAAGCAGGATTTCTAGGCGTCAACCATTTAATAGTCTTGTTTTTTTATTGATATTCCCCTTCCCCAAGCCCTTGCTACATTATTGTCTGTGTCCATATGCTATGCTTAGATGCATATATGTTCTTTGGTTAATCTCTTCCTCTGAGATCTGCTATCCGTCTGTTCCATGCATCCATGTCTCTGGACCTATTTTGTCGGTTTATTGTGTTAGATTTCACATATAAGTGAGATCATGTGATATTTGTCTTTCTCTGACTGGCTTATTTCGCTTAACATGTTAATCTCCAGGTCCATACCTGCTGTTGCAAAGGGTAAGAGACCCTTCCTTTTTCACAGCTGCGTAGTATTCCATTGTGTAAATGTGCCACAGCTTTTTTATTCACTCATCTACTGATGGGCACGTGGGCTGTTTCCAGATCTTGGCTATTGTAAATAGTGCTGCTATGAACAGCAACCATTTCTGCTGCAGGGAAGTTGAGGAGGCATTGCCTCTCTGCACTGCTGTCTGCAGAAGCAATTCCTGCAGCGTTGGAAAGTTTTCATAGCTACCCAGCCACATCCAACCTTCTTTTGTAAGATGATCTTATGTTGGCCAATAGAGCTCAGAGTCTCTCAGCGGCATCCAGATGGAATTGGAAAACCTTAAAGAGAAATCCAGGGAT